AAAAGGCAGCAGCATCATACACATGAAACCAGATAGTCTTGACCTCGAACCAAAAGCAGAATTGCAACTTGAGTTTTACCAAATAAGCGCACAGCAAATGCTCACAAGTGACAATGCTGGAATAGTCTCATCATCATCAACAATGAACCAATGTCGAATTCCTATCTGGCGCTCAGCGCCCAGACTACGAATGGCAGATCCTATCTAGCCTATCTACAATGCCACTGGTGACGTCAACAGCTCCCTGAAGTACGAGCAGATCTCGGCCAATGCCGTTTGCCTCAAGCACCAGGTATGTCTCACGCTTCACTTACAACCTCGATCCCCACACAGATGCCACGTGCACCCAAGGACCACCATGCGCCCCATCCAGCATCTCGCAGGCCAGCTCGACTATGGCTGCCTGCGTGTGCCCTGCTCACCCGTGAGCGCTTGGGCGCTTGCCTGCCGATAGCGCAGCAGCGCTTGCGCAGCATGTAGCAAGTGCCCGAATGCCAAATGCGGAGGCAGGCACCTTTATGGAAGTGGCCTGCCTGCTGCGTGCTGCCTGGCTACGCTGGGCCCCTGCCCAGAAGCTTCCGGTAGGCCCCAAGTGGCTGAGCCCATCCGAGAGAATCTTCCACAGGGCCTGGGGTGGTTACCCGTGTCCAACTGCCAGCGGCCTGTGTTCGGCTTATGCCCCGCGTCTGGCCCAGGGCCTGCCTCGATCCATTTGGAGAAAGGCAGGCAGGGCCTGGACTTACTCAACCAACTGGCGCTGCACAACTGCCTGAATTTCCCAGCTGCGTCAATACCCAAAAATAGGCCTCTCGTCACTTATCAGGCCCACCTTCACTTGGGGCGGCCGTACTTGCTGAAACAGGGCCCAGTAGGGCTCACCGAGGCCTTGAGCCTCGCATTCCCTCCTCCATACTTCGACAGTCCTCTGAGAAGTTCATTCAATCTGGCGCTTTCCCTTCTGCAGCAACTTCTCATAGTGAGCGACAACCTGTGGAGCGGTCTGCATCAGTTCCTCCCTTGTAAACCATCTGTCCTCCTTTGGATCAGTGTGATGTCTGAACCGAACACGATATTGCAGCTTCAGTTTCGGAGGACGGCCCCTGCCTGTTGGTCTTGGAACCGGCATTTCTTTGTGGTCCACAATGTCGTCGATGTCGACCTCTTCATCCATGGTTGGGGACAGCATTGAGCGACGAGAGGGGAACTGATCAATTTCCTTGAAAAGTGCGAGCTTGGAGGCGTGAAGGACAGGGTAGGTGCGAAGGTGACCAGGGATTCTATCATAGCCGCCTGTGCTTTGTGCATCTGCTCCACTGCTTGCTGCATGAGGCTTTCATACCTGTAAGCAAAATCGAATGTACCAGGCGCAGCAGTGGGCTGGTTCTCAGGCAGTAAGAAATCTAGAGGCAGTCGAGGTTTGAAAGTTGGTAGCAAACTGTTGGGGCTCACCCCTGTTGCGCTGTGCACGGTGTTGTTGTACAGACTGGCGACGAGAGCGAGTTTCTCATCCCAGTCCACCTGGTTAGGCCTGATATAGTGCCTCAGCAGGTGTTGTACAGCGCGGATCAGCTGCTCTGCTTGTCCATTTGCTTCTGGGTGGTTTCCGGAGGTCATCTGCAGCTGTGTCCCCTGTTCAGCAGCTGCAGCTTTCCACATCTCACTGGTAAATCGCACATCCCGGTCACGGACAATATACTTTGGCAGTCCAAAATCCCTGACCCAGTTCTCTTCAAACAGCTTAATCACGTACTCGGTTTTGGCTATCTTGGGCATTGCGACTAACCTAGCATACTTACTAAACCTATCCACAATGACAAAGATGTATCGCATACCGCTCTTGCTGGTGACCAGTGTGTCCATGAAATCCATGGACAGGCTCTCACCGGGCCTTTCCGGGATCGGAAGGGGCTTGAGAAGCCCAAGAGGGGGCTGTGTACGTGGCTGGTCTCTGAGACACACTTGACAAGTTTCCACGTACAGCTTGGCATCTCTCATCATTGTGGGCCACCAGAACTGCTGCAGCAAGTTTGCTGCAGTCTTCTTATGGCCAAAATGTCCTGTAGCATCATGACACTCACCTAAAAATAAACTACGCAAAGACTCCCAGTTTGGCACACACGACCGTTTATTCCCGGCCTTTTCGAGGAACAGCAGGCCATTGACCAACACAAACTCGTCAGAAGTCACCTTGTCCTTCGCCTCGAGTTTGTGTATGATCTCTGCCATGAATGGGTCCTCGTGATAGGCTTCCACCAAAGACTGAGTTACATTGTCCGCAAGCCCAAACTCCGTGATTAGCGCACCTACAAAGTCTGGTCTACGTGACAACGCATCAGCAACCTTGTTGTACTCCCCTTTGATGTACTAAGGTTCGAAGTCATACTGTTCTATGACTTCAATCCAGTGTTTCAAAGCATCGGAAAGCACAAGCTGTGTTCTCATCCACTTCAGGGTCTGATGATCAGTCCTGACATAGAAGAATCTCCCAAGGAGGTAGTGCGTCCAATGGGTCAACGCTTTATATATTGCGTAGAGTTCCTTCTCATAGGTGGACTTAGCCAACTTCTGAGAGGGCATCTTTTTGGACATGTACACCATCGGCCTCAACTTTGGCCCCTACTGTTGCGCAAGCATGGCACCAATGCCATATTGGCTGGCATCCGTGGTTACTATAAACGGCTTGTCAAGATAAGGAAGTTTCAAGACCTCGTGGTGTGTTAAGGAATGCTTCAGATGTCTGAAAACAGCCTCACACCTGTCTGTCCACTCCCACGGGGTGTCAAGGCGTGTGAGGTCCGTCAAAGGTGCGGCCACTATGCTATAGTTCTTCACAAAATTGTGGTAGTAGCCGGTCATCCTTAAGGAGGACCTCATCTTAGTCGCAGACTGAGGACACGGCGAGTCACAAATGCTGGCCACCTTCGCATCATCGGGCTTCAATCCCTCCGCGAAAATCTCATGACCCAGATACAAGATCCGGGTGCGGCCAAACTCACACTTCTTCCGGTTAATCTTAAACTGGTGTTGCCGAAGGAGACTAAGGACTTTGTCTCGATGGGCTACATGTTCCTCGACAGTCCTACTAAAGGTAAGTATGTCATCGAGGTACACCATGACAAATTTATCCAATTAATCATGAAAAATCTGGTTCATAGCGTACTGAAAGGTGCCAGGAACATTGCAAAGGCCGAAAGGCATCACCACAAACCCGTACATACCGTACCTGGTCTGAAACGTGGTTTTGTGTTGATCCTCGGGCCGGATTGCAATCTGATGGTACCCAGACTTTAGATCATCTTACTGAAGTACTGGCACCCTTGCACTCGGTCCAACAAGTCATCAATGCGCGGTAGGGG